ACATAGTATGGATTTTAGTTTGTGCCCAGTTTTTGAATGAATTTATTGTTTATTAGAATGTTATATTCTATTGTAAAGTTTTTCCAAATGTTGATTATTTTATTGCTAATATCAGGAATATACAGTATGCAATGGTGCAGGATTTTATAGTTAGTTGTTTCATTGAACTTATTATTGTTTGTTTGTTTTTGATTGTGTTGTTGGCCTAGGTATGTGTGTATGGTTTTTTTGAAAGAAATTTACTGATGTTGAGGAAGTGTTGTTTCAATTGTTTGATTTCCTCGTTAATTTTATCTGGTGAGCATAGTTTTGTGGCTGTGTTTATTTGTTTCTTAATATGTTGAGTTTTGTTTTGTTTCATGTGCCGAGTTTCAGGCAAAGTATAGTCCAGTATGGGTGATTTTTCAGTTGATTTCTGTCTTGAATTGTGTATCGATTTTTGTGATCTTGAGGTTGAGAAATGTTATTTGTTTAGCTTTTTCGTATTCACAGGTAAACTAATGTTTGGGTGTATGGAGTTAGCGTGGTTGAAAAACTAAGTGTGTGTTCTGTAGACGTAAATCTAGCAAATGTGTCGTCATCATATCTGTACCAGTATAGTGGTGGGTGTAAGACTGAATTGATCACTTGAGATTCAATCTGTGTCATGAAAATGTTGACTAGAATTGGTGACACAGGATTAGCCATTTATTTGTATGTAATTTTGGTTGTTGAACATGAAGTTGGTTTTGGTGGTAGTAAATTCTAGAAGAGTTGCTAGTTGGTTGCTGTAGATGTGTATTAATGGGTTGAGGTCTTGGATATAAAGTTCTAAAGCTATCTTGCAGGCTTCAGTAGTTGGGACTCAGTGAAAATGGAGATTGCATCAAAACTGGTCATTAAGGCTTTATGGTTTATTTGATAGAGAATAGATTTGAAGTTAAAAGAGCCCTTAAAAATGATCCTGTTGATGTTACATGTGTAGAAAAAGCCCACGCTTTGTACTTACCAAGGTTTTAGTTAAACAATTCATAGGTCGACATTATGGGTCATAGGGCACAATCAGGTTTGTGAGGCTTGGGGGTACCCTACAGTTTTGGTGTGCAGGAGTCGGTCGTACGTAGGTAGGAGTAAAGGAATTCTGACATTGTGTTGGTTTTTTAATTGTAGTAACATTTTGTTTAGTTGGTTTTCATGTGTTTTTGTTGGATTTGTGAGGATTGGCTTAAATTTGGTTGTATCTGATAGGATATCATTCATTTTATGAATTTACTCACTTGTGTTCATTATTACAATAGCATTGCCTTTATATGCTTTTAGAATGTTGATGTTGTTTTCTTGTTTTAGGTTGTTTATAGAATTAATATCTTTCTGTGTAAGGTTGTTTTTTAGCTTTATTTCATGTGAAATTATATTGGTGGTTTTATGTGAGAATTCTTTGAAGAAAAGTGTTTAAAATACTGTTTTGAGGTGTTTCAGCGAAATATATGTTTTCAGTTTTACTTGGAAAGATAAATTGTTGGTTATCGATGGAATTGGTGTTGATCTTGTCTTCTTTCTGGTGGTTGTTTTTCGTAGTTTTGTTGGTGTAGAATAGACCACTAGTCTTCTGGGTAGGTCTTCAAGGCATGCTTCTACTTCAATAGATGGAACATTCTTTGGCCTTACTGTGAAGTTGAGTCCTTTGTTGAGCAGATATACCTCTTCAGCACTGAATTATCAGTTAGATCTGTTAATTATGAGATTGGTTGATTGGTTCGTCGTGTTGACGTATTTTCGTTGTTGGCACCTTAGTTGATCTAGGTTTTTGTTATGACGGGTTTTTTCTTTGTCTTTCTTGCTGTTGATTAGGTTGATGTTGTATTGTCTGAGTTCATAAATTCCTGCTTGAATGCAGTAGGCCAGTTGATGGTCTAGATTTCAGTATTGCATATATGATGCATATTATCATTGTCAACATGTGTCAAAACAAAACCTGTTATCTAAATTTGGATTCTACAAAGATATCAATGATATGTTTGTTCATAAATTTGTTACAAAATATTTTCATATAAATATCTCTTTAATAAATATGTCTTTTTATGTACATCAGCTTGCAAAATCTTTATTGGGGGAAATAATAAACTGTCAAAAAGAAACAATTTGTCAAGAAATATTTTATTGGCAATGACAGATAAAGTTGAGCCACTACAGTTTTACTAAATATTTTATATACAATAAATCTATAGTTAAAATATGGTTGTCTTGTTCAAATAATGGTTTTACTTATAAAAGCAAAACAGTAGGTGGCAAATTAAATATAGAAGTGAAAACTATAAAGTGAACATAAGTTGAGGCACCATATATGGCCTCACCATTCTATGCAACTACAATAACAATGCCCTTGTTAACACAATCCACCTATTGTGCCTTAGTAACGCGATCAGTTCCTAGCAACACACCATTTGGTGAGTCACAATGGAACTATAATATCACCCCTTCTCAAAGACAAACGTGCACTCCAGTGCCATTTCGTGAAACTGACGTCATTTTCCCTTTCTATATTCACCTAAGGTAGCTAATCAGCACGGGACGCAGAAGTGCGGGGATAACTACTAATATATTGCAGTCAATGTGTTTTCCTTTCCTCATTATACAGTTAATCAGCTGTGCACGGATGATAACTTTTTGAGGCCTGTTTGAGCATCTCAAAGGCACGTAGAAGTGGCTGTGAATCGTATTTTAAGAATTCATATTTATGCTTGATTCATGGAGCTGGGCATGGCCTAGTGATTAGGGTATAAGACCGTGAATCTGTTACTAAATCATACTCCACACTTTAGAGTCGTTGGTGTGGCATAAAAGTGAAGACGAACACCACAGTTCGATTACAGTAGCTTAAGAGTTACTGGTTTGTCATAATGGCATGCAATCTGCATAGAGATGTATCTCCTGACAGTACAGTGGTGACAGTATGTTATCTAACAGTAAGCAGAGTTTATCTTGTCATTGTATCGACTCTTCTCATATTCAAAATATTATTACAGCTACAAACTGTAACTATTGTTACAGATACTTACTTAGACATATTCCTCATCCAATCCAACAATGTTGATATTTAATTCATCTGTGCTTTTAGAGAATCTGGTGAAAACAGCAGCTCTGATTTCCTTTGTTCATTGTGTATTAGAATAGGTTAGAGCAAAAAACCAACACCTACATACATAAGCCAAGACATCATTATACAATTGTTAAAAAGATAGCTGTTTTCACTGTTAAGAGATATCCATAGTGATTTTTAAAATTCTTTATTTATAAATTGTAAATTTGTATCTGTTTATTATTTATAGATATTAAAAAATGACAAAAGAAAAATAATCAAACCAATGTATTATGAAACTTGTCATTTTAGGTCTACATATTCTACTTTAAGGTTTGGCTTGCTTCTTGGCTTTTGTATAACATGTTGCAGTTGATTTCCCACAACCTTCTGCAGAAGATGAATAATAGTATTACACCAAGACATTAAGGATTTAAGCACTTGATGTCGCTAATGTTGCTTTTCTTAGTTTTTCCCCATTCTTTACTTTTATTTATCAAGTATGTTTTTAATGTTAAGAAGTTTTTGAACCATTTATTTTTCAGACATGTGATATACATGTATATATATACTTAAAGCTGGTTATGGAAGATACGTTTTTTAGTGGTTGGTGAACGTACATATATATATATATAATTTAGTTTTTGTTATTTTTCTTGACGCTTAATTTAGTATATATATTTCTGTCAAGACTTTTTGAACCTACATGTTTTTCTAACATCATGAATTAGTATATATATATTATTATTGTTATGTTACCTGACAATTAACTGAGAATATAGTTGTGTTTATATTGTTTATTTGGTTTATGTTGATAATTCAAGCAATGTGTATAAGTAATAATGTATTTATTTATTTATTGAATGGTTATATTCTGTTCATATCGTATATAAAGTGTTTTTTCCACCTTTCATAGTGAATTTTGTAATAATTGGCTTCTTTTAATGTTTTCATTTTTAAAACCTGTAATTAATATACACTTACCAGTTTAATTTTGAACTGCTGGAGTAGAGGGAAAGCAGCTAGTCAACAACACCAACGTCAACTGTTGTAGGTTAGAAATTCGAACATGCTTGATCTTTTAGGTGTGGGGGAATTATAACATAATGGTCAATCCCACTGTTCATTAGTAAAGAGTAGCTAATGAGTTGGTGGTGGATGGTGTTGACTAGCTGCCCTGCCTCTAGTTTATCATTTCAAAATTAGGGATGGCCAGCGCAAATTGCCTTCAAGTAGCTTTGCACGAAATCAATCAAAACAAACAATATAGTGCACCCACGCCCCTAAAATGCGGATCGGCAATGTCACGAAAATTATGGACCCTCAGATTCACAACTCGACATGCTAACCATTCAGCCACCAACGGCCACATTTGATTGTTTGTTTTATGAATTTCGCGCAAAGCTACACGAGGGCTATCTGCGCTAGCCGTCTCTAATTTAGCAGTGTAAGACTAGAGGGAACGCAGCTAGTCATCACCACTCACCGCCAACTCTTGGGCTACTCTTTTACCAACGAATAGTGGGATTGACCGTCACATTATAACGCCCCCACGGCTGAAAGGGCGAGCATGTTTGGTAGGACGGGGATTCGAACCCGCGACCCTCAGATTGCGAGTCGAGTGTCCTAACCACCTGGCCATGCCGGGCCACCAAATTTGAATAGAGTAGTGTACGAAATAAATGCCTGTTAATAATTTACTTTGAAAACGTATTACTGGTATTTTGCCTTAAAGAAGGAATAAGATGTGCTTATATTTTACATTTTATTTTTCCTTGTGCAGGTTTTATTTTATCAGTATTTTGTAAAATAGATCACTTTGTCATTAGGGCTGAATTAAAAGTATAGATGTTTTCATAATAAAACGTTATTGACAAAAAGCACACTTATTTATTTATTTACCCATTTATTTATTTCAATATATATACAGCTGTAAAAGACGTAAGTTTTTTATTTCCAAATTAAAAAGGTTATTTTGAAATTACGAATATTTCAAAATGATCAAGATAGAGTTCTTAAATTTTATAATCACCCATTCTTCCGATAAATAACAAGGTAAATGGTTTTCAATGAACTTAAAAACAATTTCAAAATTTATATTTTTGAGAAAAAACGGTTCTTATGATAGCGATCATATATGTATAAATGACTTTTAAATCTAATATTTGATAAACATAACGAATTATTATAATTACTTTTGACTCAAAATTTTACAACTGCTTACAAGTTCCGGGTATTTTATCAACTAAGCAAAAATACAGTGTAGTATTTATATGCAACTTTGTTTTCGTTTCACAACTACAGAGAACATTGAAACTATAGATTGGAGACATTTAAAGACACACTGAGTTATATATAGAACAAATTACTTACAGTTGTAACACGATTAGCAAGAAATATAAGTGTTAGCAGGTGCGTAATATATGCGTTAAAGTTATCGAAAATCAATATATACTTTTCATTATTTTGAGAAAATATAACAAATATACTTTTCATTATTTTGAGAAAGTATAACAAATATACTTTAACACTAACCATTTTCAAACTTAAGAATTAATAAGTTAGGTAAAAGATAAAATTAAGGTGAAAAACATAGAAAATATTTATTTTTCTGTTAACATTCCAATCTTCGTACTTGAGCAAAGTACACCAACCAATATCAGACGCAGTGCCTTCTTGATTTTAAAGCAGCCATTATACAGATAAATTAATTCTGTAAACACCTTCGCCAATTTAAATAAAAATTTATCTTAAAATTTTAGGTTTGACAATAATTATAAAAATTAAGAATAATTTAACTTCTTAAAAATAATTTTTTAAAGCTGATATTTAACCATACATATTTTAAAAGTATTTATATAAAACTGCGGTTCATTCAGATGTTTTCATAAGTTAGGTCTTTGAAGTTCATTTGCATGCTCGCTATTAACATTGAAAGTATTTGGTAGCTCTAAGTTTTCTTCTTTATTTGACATTTTTGTGTTTGCTGACTGCCGGTTTTTTCCCTCTGTAGATTTTGAATCATCTCCTGAATATATCTTATGTCTTTCGAAACCCTTGTCAGAAAGTTGAAATACAGTTTTTGGAGCAGCCAAATATTCTATTTTATCGTCAGTTTCAAATGCGACGTTGTCATACTCCTCATTGACAGAGTAATGGACTGAACTAGACTGTTCACCAGGTGGTAAGCTTTTCCGTCTGCTTTTTTCTACATTTGTGTCAAACTCCGGGTCTTTCTCAGTAGACAAAACGATATTTTCTTGTCGCTTTAAATCATTATTACTACATCTCCAAGTAGCCACTCTTTCTTCTTCTAGATCTCTGTAAACAATTGAATCATTTGAAGACAACCTGTTAGTTAGGGGTTTTGAACCTTTTCCAACTGAACCCACGATTGAAACCTTGTCATTTGGATTAATGAAGAAAGGGTTGCTAATTTTACTTGCGACCGTATCTTTGTGTTTTGTTTTAGAACAACAATATTCTGAGAGCGATAATAATACCGGTAAAAGCAAAAGCCCATGCAATGCACCAAACAATATGACTAAGAACATCGTCTTAAAGAAGGTTTTAAAAATATACGAGGGTGCAAAAGCAAGAGACAATATACCAAGAATTGTTGATATACTCCCTTGTAGAATTGGAGTCCCCAGTGAGTATAGAGCTGTCCGAATACGATCATTTGGCGATTCATTCTTTACAGATATGTATGAATAAGAAATGTGAGCAGAAAAATCTACTGAAAACCCAATACACATGATAAGATTAATCATTGATATTGAATCGAGATTTACATCCCAAAGTGTCATGTACCCAATTACTCCAATTTCTATCGAGATAATTGAAAAGGCTACCCACACAGCACAGCTGATGCTTGGTATAAAAAAAAGGGAGATGACCATCATAACAGCAGCTGCTACACTGATTGCCTGAATAGATGTTTCTCGCACCAATATAAACTGGTCCCAGAAAAGGAAATACTGGTTAAACACGGTCACCTTGAATGGATAACTGTCTGCAATTTCACGCAGTTTAATTAGCATATTTTTTTCTTGATTGGCATCAAGAATGTTCTCAGATTGAACCAGAAATCTTGAAGCTATAATAGCCGTTCCTAGTTTATTGTAGACGATATCCTGTTTGAAGCGTTTTGTCAAAGGTAACCTTGGGAAAATATCTTTTAGTCCTATTATAAAATCTCTAGGATTGCTCATGTTTAGACCTGATAATAAACCACTTGTTCTTCCATCATTTTGAAACGACAAATAAGCCCGTAACCAAGATTCTGTTAAAGAAAAATTGGATATGTAATCAGAATCTTCAAAAGCCTTTAACATACTTTCTATTATTTCTTGCATTTTAGCATTGGAATAGTCGATCTCTCCTTCGACAACTATTTGGATACGATAGGGGTACTTACGGAAATATTTGTCATCTAGCGCATAAAATGAGACTGAGTAAGAATCAAAGCGGGACAGTTTATGCCGCTCTAACCCTTCTCTAACCATAGTGCAGCCCCACAATCCTACAGCAAGATATCCCATAAAGATGAAAATTATTATAAATTTAACAGGAAATCTAGTCAAAAGACCACCAACTTCGTCACGAAAAAAGGACATCAAAGCATTATCAGAGTTGTCGTCTACGTTTTCTGGATCTTCCTCATTGATACCACCAGTGCAGCAAATTCGAAACCAAAACCCTCTGTTTTCTACGAAATAAAAAAAATAATATCATAGGTACATACAATAAAGCTTTAAGCTTTAATACAAATGAAGAAGAGAGTATTGTGCGATCACTATGTTTTCTGCAGACAAGATAACGTCTCACAGTAACTAATAAATTATAGTTAAAAAAAAAAAGAGCTTGTCGCACTTGTGTGAGGTTAGTGAAAGTAGTTGAAACACACACACACACACACACATTGGGGAAACTTTACTATTTTCATCTAAAACTTTGGTGTACATAATTTGTGCGTAACTAGATAAAGTATTATTGTATACATTTTTCTCATCAGTTCAACGGTAATTAAAGAACAACCAAGATTTACTATATTTAAATCTGTATGCACAATTTAAGACACAATTAGTCTTATCAATTTTATAATTATTAATAGCATTTGATCAAAGCGAACTATTTACATAGATCAAAACCGAAAATTAACTAAATAATTAGAAAAGTTTATTCATAATTATACAACATCATAGAACAAAAAATTATAACGATCAGAAAGCAATGATTCATTATTTTAGTGCCCTTGATATTTTTGGACTTTTAATGGTAATGATAAATTGTAAGGCGCAATTCTAATAGCATTAAACTGTGCCCATACAACATCTAGAATATTTGAATAATTTAAGTATTGATATAAGGTTGCCATATATCTGTTAGCAATAATTAATTTATAATATTTATTGGAACATTCTATATATTAGCCAGCATGTACTGATTTTGTAACATATCAAAGTTTTAGCAGAAAAAAGTTAAACAATCAGAAATCATTCAATAATAAAAAAAGCTGAGCTCTGAGATAAATTTCATGGCTTCTACTATAATAAAAGATATAATTTTGCCATAAATGTTTAAGTAAACTAGTTATTATTCAAAACATTATGATTATTTTTAAATGAGTTGAACATTGAACAAATAACTTTGCAGTGATAATTTTAAGTATGGTAGTATTTAATAGTAGAGATTGACAAGGATTCCATCTTATCGAATTCCTAAGCCAAGAACTGACCATTCAAACATTGGTTATGATATATTAAGTCGTCAAGAAATTAATGAAAAAAACCTAAACAACTTGTATATCAAAACATTTATTAAAAAATGATGATGCTTTTCCATTTTACAATCAGGTTGTTAATGCCCTGATTAAAGAAATCACTTGGCTTTGAAGCAAAAAACATGTCGATGTCCTCTTTAACACCTTCCACATTTGCATATGTTTTCCTATTAAGATGGTGCTACAGCGAACGAAAAAGATGGTAACCTGATGGTGCCATATCTGGAGAATATGGTGGGTGGAGAGAACTTCCCAACCCAACTCCATAATCTTGTGTTGCGTCAAACGTGCCACATGTGGACGTACATTGTCGTGGAGAAGAAGAACACCTTTCCGATTGACTAGAGAAGGGGTTTCTGATGAAGGGCTTGATTTAAACGTTCCAGTTGCTGACTATAGATCTCTGCATTGACAGTTCGTTGTGGATTGAGGAGTTTGAAATGAATTACTCCTTTGATGTCCCACCAAATGCAAAGCAGCACTTTCTGCAGATGGAGTCCAGGTTTTGGGGTCGGGAGTGGTTTTTGTTTAGGACTGAGCCATTATTTTTGGCGTTTAATATTAGCATAGAGAATCCATTTTTCATCACCGGTGACAATTCTATCCAAAAATGGTTCATGTGCATTACGCACCAGAAGAGACGAAGCAATGTTCGCACGTTGGAAATGATGATTATCGGAGAGTTCGTGAGTCACTCAAACACCTTCTTTATGGAGTTTTCCCATATTTCTTAGATGTTTACGTATTATTTCATGAGAGATATGCAATTTCAGGGCCATTTCACGAGCGTGTTGCTTTGGGTTAGACTCAACAAGCGTCTTCAGAGCATTAATATCAATTCCAACATGTCGGCCCCTGCCATCACCGTTTTCAAGGCTAAAGTCACCTGAACGAAATTTGCTGAACCATCGTTGACACTTGCAAACGTTTAAAACATTTCCATAAACTTCTTTGATATTCTTTATGCATTGTTTCCCTTTTTGTATTCAAACAGCATTACATGCCGAATGTGTGTGTCTCGTCGTGTACCATCACCATTATGTAGGCTACACTAACGTGACATTTAAGAGGTTCAATTAACTACTATATGTGATGTACGTTTTTTGGGGGATGGTTAATGAATGTGTTCCAAAACGTGATATTAATTTCTTGACGACCTAATATTATGATGTTATATTCTAATAATATGCTAGAAAGGTTGCTAACGGTTCAGATATAACAATTCAAAAATTTCTAAAACAGCAACTTTTTCGTATATTACCTATGTATGTGATCACGTCAGCGGGGCTAGTACCTAGATGGCTCAGACTATTGCTACAAGATTTCTCCAGCTTACGTGACTGGTCTGTGGGCACTCGCTTTTGATATTTCAATAAAAATCCATATATAATATAAATGGTAAACAAATAATTCACATACTTAAATATCTTTTCAACCCAGTGGATGGCGCTATATATGTATGGATAAACGCGTGACAGTTTCTAAAGATGAAGTATATACTTTATAAAGGTATAACATAAAAAAGTAAAAACAAGAGTATTAAAAAATTATGAATCTTACAAAATGAAGTAGGGATCGTGCTAAAAAAAAGTAATAAAACAAGAATTAAAACCACAATCACAAATTTATAAAATCTAATCCCTACTTTAGCAGCTTTATACTTTATACACTTATCTGTAGGCCAAAGTGAGGATTAAATTTTATAAATTTGTGATTGCGGTTTTAATTATTGTAAAAATTATAGGTATCAAGGATATGGCTATGCTGAAAGTTTATAGATGTTGTGTCCACTCTATGGACATATAAAAACTAAACAGATATATAGGGGGAAAAATTAAAATTTTAACACAATGTAGGGTCGCTGGATATTCGTAGAATTGGTATATGAAGTATCTAAAACAAAGCAAATGCTGCAATAAAAATACATAAACAAGTAAAGTGATACCAGTTTGGTAGAGTTTAAAATATTTTGAATCTCTACTTTGGTTGGCATTGTGATCTGTATAGCTAAATGAAGCTGTCTAAATCAGTTCTATTTTTTTTTCTATAGTGTCAAGACCTGGTTATTGTTAATTGCATATTTTATTGTTTGGAATTAAAATGAGTAAAAGGATTTAATCATTGCGGAAACACAGCGTAAACTTATATATTTTTGGAAAATTTTTCAGGATTTTAATTTACATTGCAGAACACACAAGTCGACTCTTATGATGGGCTTGATATGCCCATCGTTGAAATTTAGATTTTACGAGTATGATTAACTTTTGAAATATCATGAAACTCTTTAGAGCATTTTTAATTGCGTAACACAAGAAATCTATCATCAATTTTCAAATTTTGGTAAGAATTGTATATTGCCCCCCAGTGGCACAGCGGTATGTCTGCGGACTTATAACGCTAGAATCCGGGTTTCGATACCCGTGGAGGGCAAAGCAAAGATAGCCCATTATGTAGCTTTGTGCTTAATTACAAACAAACTGAAACTGAATTGTATAGCACAGTCAGTTCAATTTTTTAAAAAATATTACTTGTTTTTCGTTGATGACTTCATTTAAAAAAAAGTGTACTGTTAATTTGTTTAAATTACAATGAGAACAAAAATCGTTCCAGTATTTAGCGTTCATTTCTTACAGTAAGATATCTACATATCAGAAATCCTTACCAGTAAATGTAAACTAACATTCATTTCAGAAGTCTTCACCAATGAAAGTAAACCTAACATTCATTTCTTACAGTCAAATATCAATATTTCAGAAATCCTCACCAATGAACGTAAACCTAACGTTCATTTCTTACAGTTAAATATCTATATTTCAGAAATCCTCATTAATGAACGTAAACCTGACTATGAAAACATATTTAAATATCAACTATTTAAATGGGGTAACCACATATTTTCTACTTACTGCATATGGCCACTACAAACCTTTAACTTGCAATCTTTTTACCATATACAAGTAATTATAAATACACTGTCTCAAGGTATTTTAAAAATTGATTTGTTATGTTGAACTTAAAAAAGCGATTTTACATGAGATACACACACACACACACACACACACACACACGCGCGCACATATATATATATATATATATTGAAATTCCATTATTTTTACTTTTGATACTAATAAATATATTTGAATGATAATAAAATTGACGTGAAGTAATCCTATTACTCAATGCCATTTGCTTTATTACATTATCAAAAAATGCTACATTTTAAGAATAAAATTAATATACTTACTGGCTAAAGATTTTGGTGTAGTAGGAATGCAAACCATTCCGTGGAGGTTACGTTTCTCAGCATATCCACTAACAGCCAAACAGCTTCCAAAGAAGGTGATGTGCCAGATATATGTGAATAGCACAGCTATAGCAGTGTAAATGCAGAAGATCTGAACAGAAGGAAAAGGAGTGATGACCCCAACCAAGAAAGAAATGAAGTTGGTCAAAGTCGTTATTGTAATAGAGACAGCTGCTTCTGCATATGTTTCACCCATTCTGTCTTCTACAGAATTTTTCGGATTAGTGCGCCGCCATGCAGCTAGTAGTATGAATCCCCTGTTTACAAAATGAGAGATTATTACTCTCGCTATCTTTAACATGTTTCATGCTACAATACTTATTTCTAATAAACATAAATCATTAATAGCTTTTTTTATAATTTAAACGATAACACACTCGATCAGCTGAAATGTAGGATAAAGCTAATTAGTAGCTTGTTATAAAAATTACTGATTAATAACTACAGTGATGTTATTATGAAGACTACTAACCATGACAATGATTGGCTATATAGTCACAACAAACTTACCCGCAGCATGGCTCTGGAGTTTGTAATGAACTTGCACAAACTTAACTGTAGATTAGCTTAACCAAATAATCACCTCACCTTATTCCATGAATGTAAAGAACATAAGGTAGTTTTAAAATATTTAAAGTTAAATTACCTATCAACACCAAACAATGTCAAAGACTAGCTCCAAAACCAAATAAGGCTATTCAATGATGAGGAACCCACTTTGAAACTAATAATGCTTGGAGACGGCCCATTCAAGCCGTCTTCAAGCATTACTAATAAGGCTATACTCCAATTTAGGACCAAATATCACCATATAAATAAACACAAGATACAGAATAGCATTAATGATTTATGTTGACGTTAGATGATACAACATGCAACACATACTTTATCATGATACGTACAGCTATTCAAACTTCATATGAACACACATATGCTCAAATACTAAAAACTTTCCCTTGGCTCAGCGGTAAGTCTGTGGGCTAAAAACACTACAAACCTGATTTAAATACTCGTGATTGGCACAGCAGAGATAGCCCATTATGTAGCTTTAAGTTTAGCAACAACAAAAGGAAAAACTAGCATTAAAGAAATTTGTATATAGAAAATAAATTAACTCATCATTTCTAAAAACAAGAATCCTACCAGCATTATAGACACACCTAATTGCACTCAAACAAACATAAATAAATAACCATTAATAAAATCTGAAGAAAATGCACTAAAAAGGACTAAACTTCGCTTTAACACATAAAAAATACTCATCTTAGACATAGCTACCACAACAAACACTTAAAGCCTACTAGAAAGCCCCCCAGTGGCACAGCGGTATGTCTTTGGACTTACAGTGCTAGAAACCGGGTTTCGATACCCGTGGTGGGCAGAGCACAGATAGCCCATTGTGTAGCTTTGTGCTTAACTTCAATAAACAAACAAAAACAAACAAACTATTAGAAAAATAATATTAAAGTCAAGGGTCTAGAAAGCCATAAAGTGCAAGACTCACTATTATACCAACCTATCATAAGAAATTACCCTAAAAAATTTGAAAGAAGACAACACCATAGCATTTATACCATCATACAAAAAGAATGTCACTTTAATCATGAATAAAGGAGAATACTTCATCAAACTCCAAACTCTAAATGTAGATGGCCACTGTAAGAACTGCTAACACAGAGAAGAAAATGAATTAACTTTTGGAGATACACCAGAAAGAACTTGGAACTGAAACAAACAATTAACAGTATACGACAATATCACCCCACAAGTCTGTGGCTTATTTAAAATTTGACAAACAAACCCATAAAGTCACTAAGTTTCTTTTGTTGCTTGTCAACACATTCGTCAAACAACGACCTCAGGTTTGTCAATAGCCTTGCATTTGCTTCTGGCTATGGTGCAGTGGATACACTGCTGCAAATATTGAGTAATTCCACTTTGTTCATTATGTCTACGAACATTTCAGCATCCAATTGGATAACCAATTATCCATAATTACAAAGCAACATCGGAACTTCATCCCTTGTTAAACAGATCACCACTTGAGCTAATTTTGCTTGCTTTCTGGACAAGAAACTGCTCATTTCATTTGCAGGTTCTGCCACATTATACTTCATTTGGATTAAACCAAGGAAAGGGTGGCATGCTATTCATGGTTATTCGTCAAACAGCCCTGCACAATCCAAAGTATCATGTTGTTGTTATTGATGTTGTGGCAAACCTTTCAACCCTGAAAGGTTCCTAATCCCATGGATCATAGTCTTCACATATAAGTGTCTGTTTTCTTATTTGTCAAGAAGACAACTCTGACTGGTGGAAATCATCCACCAGTGGTATGTTCAGCCTCTATGTCACTAATTGATGTTGGTCTAGACCAGAGCTGGGGCTTGTGTGCTCTGATAGCGAGAGTCTAGGAGTTTGATAGATATCTTCCAATGTACTCTCAAATTCACCAGGTACCATTCCACTTCAACAACCCTCATTCATCTGTGCTTCCCTTCTACTGAGATCAATCCTTAGGGTTACTATTTGCTCAAGTGGCCTGGGTGTGTAAGATGAGAGCAAATCTCCTTGAGTCAGTGGTTGGAGGTTGATCGACGTCATAGACTTTCAGCAGCATGGGTGAAAGTTCCATGTCCAGGGGAAGATTTTTCCTAATTTCGACATCTCTCTCATACAACCATCTCTCTGCTAAACTTTTCCAATTGGTCACGGGTATTCCGGAAAATACCATTCCAATAACAAGAAGTGTTCCTTTAAGCTCTTTTCACTACAATAGATCAAGCAAGGGCTAGTATGCATCTTATCAGTACAGGAACTCTGTAATAAATCCTGATATTACAGGGCCCCAAATTCCCTGCCTATCTAATTGTGGTATTTTCAGGTGAAAACTGATTTCCTGACAGGTACTAGATAGTTAGATCCACTAATAACAGTGAATTCACTCAGAAAATAAGTAGAGTAGTCTGTGTTTGATAACTTGACTGAGTTTTCCTAATGTATGTTAAATAATGAGACAGAACAAGTTTAACTATATAAACACAATTTTTATAATAAAACAAACAAAACGACATTTTTGCATGCTTACTCGTTCACACATAAGAGCAATAGCTATACCTGGATTGTAATTAGTTCCACAGCTTTTTTCTCTCGTAATAGTCATTTGTTGACATATTCTATCGATTTCCAATTAGGACTACGCTTGTAGATTAAAAAAAGAAAGAAATGAACTAAGAAAAGAGGCCTGAATTCAATAAGTAAACTCAAATTTTTTGTCCAGTTAACAAAGTTACCTCGTGACCTTTGTTTTTTTCACAGCATACGTTGGTTGTAACAAAGAAACAGTGTAGAGTCTGCCAGCAAAGGCTGTCGCAGTAGCTACTCCTATAAATCCGAATCATATATGTTACTGCAATATCCTCTCTGGCAAAATAGACACTGCCTACGAAAATAACAAAACAACAAAAACAAAGCAACTGGAACAACGCAATTTTAACAACTTTCTAGAACACGTATTTATGCTCAAACTGCATAAAAACTAAATGATTTTTTTTTAAATTCCTAGATAATTAAAGTAGATAGAAAATCCAACAACAAAAATTTGAATTTGGGAGCATAACCAAAATACAAGACTTGTATCTATCTATCTGCAATGGTCACCTAGTTTAGAGAAGAAGAGTATACAACACATTGGAATAACAGGCGATGAATAGCACATGAGAAACACAAAGATAAAAAACAGCCTTCTACATCTATCAAACTGATACCACACTCAGTCAACCTAGCACAGAAGTCAGCAAAATCTAGATAATCTTGTTAAAAATATTCAAATTGTTAGATGATTCAAGCCATAAAGGACAGACTTCCACTGAAAAGATTCATGATTGAATCACGGCCACTACCAACACAGAAGATTACAAGTCGAAACGTAGTATAAAACAAATTTATAGTTACTATCTAGTTATTGTTACGTCTCCGTTCGTTAGTTAATTTTCCGTAAATTCGTTCTGAAGAAACTTTAGCGACACAAGTCCTTTCTTAAATAAAACTGGTCTATTCTTTCAGAATACAACTTTACGATACACTTAATTTCAACAGTCGCTCTGTAACAAACGCTATAATTCTCAACGGACTTCTCACGTGCTTAACAATATTCTCTCTGACTGCAGTTCAATTACTCATTACACTGTTGTCCCGTCACGTTGTGAACGTCTTATATATACAAGACTAACACATATCTAGTAAATGCTAGGGCATTCTTGAAAGAACAGGATATTTCTAGAAAGGAGGTGGCGTGATACTAGTCACGTGACCTCGCTGACGCAACATTAATAAAAGTTACTAATTATAATTAAGGTGATCGTAGAGGATGTTAACCGTGAGAAAAATGAATGTCCGATCGCCATAACTTTACTGTAAGTATACTTAATTTTAATTAATTTTTATCGATTTTTATTATTATTCACAAACCATGCTTAGCAAGAATAATTGAATTTTTCTGTTTGTAACATAAAATAGCTGAATCAAAAGAAACCCGATAATCCACCATGCGCTTTTCGAAGGCAAACTTTTCTTCATTAACTCGATACAGTAAAATCAGTGACTGAATGCTACATTTTTTCTATAAAATTTATTACATTTTTGTTATTTATCGCAATAAGATAATCGAAATATCAAATGCTAATATTGTTTCAATGATTTCTAAACAATTATAAGACATTTATGTCTGATAATTTATTTAAAATTCTAGTTAAAATGTTGACCCCTTAAGCATATATTTTCTTGAACATGTTGTATCACGTTAACGAAAACCAAAACCACCCAATGTATAACATAATAATATCGAGCAGGCAGAAGCTGTGGAGAAAGTTGATGAATGGAGATTTCGTGAAAAGTTGGGACTATACATAATACAGTGCTTTTGATAAATTTACTTGTAAAAGGCAATAGCATAGTAAACGGTAAGAAAAGTACTGTCGCTAAATGTATATAATATAAATAAGTTATGAAATACTAGCATATAGTAATAACTAAATAATAGTAAAAGTAATTAATTAAGAAAGCTATCGCACTGCTCTTACTCTTAGTACTAAGTAAGTCTCTTAGCTGTCACTGCTATCACTAGTATTCTTACTAGTACTAGTAGTAGTGACACTATTGCAACTGTTAGTATCAGTACTAGGGTGACACCAAGAATGGAAGGGAGAAGTTAAGATATTTTAACTTTATCTTGAGAAAATCAGGTTTAGAGGAGATCTTTACTTAAGACTTAAGTTTAGAAGATTAGCCAGGAGAAAACTAGGATAAATTAAATGTCTGTGATTTCTTTGGGCCATATTCTGAAGGTAATAAAAATTAAGATGAGAAGACAAGTTTAAGATTTGGAAAAAGCTCTAGTTAAGGCCGTTTTATTTTTCTAATAGGATGGTTAACTTATGGAATGAGTTGCCATTGGAAGTGATAAAAGCCTGCACATTACAGGCTTTTTTTTAGAAATGAACTGAAAAAAAAGTCAGTTTTTTATTAACTCTTTCAATAAGGGGTCAGTCAATGTGACGATCTCATAACTATTTTGTGCTTGTTATAGTTTTCATGCTATAACTTTTAAATTATTAAGTGAATGTTAACGAAATTTGGCAGATTATCAGTAAATGTTACAATACTCTCATACACAAAATATATAATTTTTTATTAAGTTGTAAGGTTTGTAAAGCAGTGTTTCTCTCACACCTTTTTTTTCTTTTCACAT